ACGGACTAGTCAACGCTTAACCGACGCCTGATAGTGTATTCAGTATCAATATTCAAGAGCACTTTTTGCTTCAACAGCACTTATTCTCTTCGACTAGGGTTCATGCAGCATTTCATTAGATTTTTGATGGTTCGGTCCCTGTTGTAATTTGGTTGTGCTAAGGCAATGGAGAATAGGAGGGAGAACACTTTGTGCATGATGGAGGACATACGCCTGTTGTATGAGGAAAAATAGAAGCGATCAAATCCGTTTATAAGGACTCTAGTTCCTCCTATCGGATTGATCTGGGGGAGCGGCACGGCTCTATGATGCCCACCAAAGCGATTGGTTCACCAGAACTCATCGTGGGAAGTGTCCATGCTTTTTATTCCTCGCACCTCAGAACTCATCCGCTCAACTTCTAACATTCGTGGTATATTTGTCCCTAGATATGAAGTATCGTTAGGGTAATCTCTCCAGGAGTAGACCAACAGGTTAAGCTGCTCAGTATTCACTTCGATTATCTTGAAAAGTAGACAATGAAATATTTTAATTATGTAATATATGTATTGATAAGGTATCGAAGGAGAACCAAAGAGGCTATTTTGAGTGTTGAGGTATTCTTTTCAGCTTTGTGGCATACTCACGTCGTTGTGCTACCTCTTCACGAGTTTCGTTTCACTTTCTGTTATGCTGGATTGTTCGGCTTTTCCATATCGTCATATATTTGTCTAACAAGTGTTATTCTTGTCGATTTGCTCGGTTTGGACAAACTCACAAACGCCTTTGGACTTCTTCTGCTCTGGCAGGTGAGCTGCTACTTTTAAGTCTATCTGTCTGTCTTTTCTCAAGGGATATGAGTAATTTTCAAATATTGATGATATGAATAAACTGAATCCTTTCAGGGTGTGGGAACCGTATTTGGGCCTCCCATATCTGGATATCTTGCTGACATCACACATTCCTATGTGTGGTCATTTGTGTTCTGCGGTGCCAATTTGTTGGTAAGTTGTAGTCTTCTCCAATTGCCAATTGTTTGTGCGTGGAATGCGGGATGTATACCAAGTTTACGGCTAAGTCGGACATTCCTAATGATAGCACTTCTGATTTGTTGTGGCAAGCCTGAGCCCAAGCCAAGTTCAGGGCTAAATATGAAATATGAAATATAATACAGTTGTCATATAGTTACTTAACATAGCCGGATGATTTTATCGTTTTTTATCGCTCTAGTGACTTGAGGTAGCCGGGAGATTTTATCGTAACCCTGGAATGCGGTGGTGAAGCTTGATTCGCCTGCTCGCTTACCCACAAGTCCATCATCTTCTGCCGAAAATTCCCAGCGCTTAGACACGATGTTTATCATCTCTTGGATTAGTGAATATTTATTCCTCCAGACTTTGAGGTGATAAAAGGCCTGATCTGATACCAAGGGAAGAGAGCTTTTTCGACATAAATGAAAATTATTCACAAATGATGGGGTTTTTTGCGCGATCAAAAGATTCGAGACTTTGTTCCGCCTTTAAAGCAACAGTCCAGGCAGGGTTCCGAGCATTAGTCGCTAATGGGGTGGGGAGAAGCACTGGTCCTAGTTAAACATATCTGAAACTGAACATGAACTCACCTTTGGAAGCCTGGTAGGGGCGACGAACTACAGCAGAT